GCGGCGGTGTGGGGCCCGAGGGGCGGCGGGAGGCCGGGGGGAGGCCGGGGGGCGCGGCGGGGTGAGGGAGAGGGAGAGGGGCTGACGGGCTGTCCGCCGCCCGCAGGCCAAGATCAAGGCCCGAGACCTGCGGGGGAAGAAGAAGGAGGAGCTGCTGAAGCAGTTGGACGATCTGAAGGTGGAGCTGTCGCAGCTTCGTGTGGCCAAAGTGACCGGCGGGGCCGCCTCCAAGCTCTCCAAGATGTAAGTGGGGCCCGGCCCGGTGCCGCTACCGGCTGTGGCGGCTTGGGGGGAGGCTGCGGGGGACCTGGGCCGGGCCTGAGCCCGTGCGGGAACGGCGGCCGGTGCCGTGGGGGTGCTGGCTGTGTGGGCCGCGGTGCGCTGGGAGGTGCTCTCAGGTCTGTGCGGCTGCTGCTTCGTGCGGCTGAACAAGGGGAAATGAAAGAGAAGCGGGTATTTGTAGGCTTGAAAATGGGAATGTGCATCCTTCTGCTCGGAGGTGTTGGGCTGAGACCGGCTGGAAGCTGTTGGTGTTTTGCTGCAGCCTGGGACAGCGTAGGTTATTGGTTGTAGAATGTGCGTGGTTTCGGTATAGCGGGGTTTAAATCTGTGGTACTTGTCTTTCAGTATGTTCTGAGACCTGCTTGTTTTCCCTCCTGCAGACGTGTGGTGCGCAAATCCATCGCCAGAGTCCTGACTGTTATCAATCAGACCCAGAAGGAGAACTTGAGGAAGTTTTACAAGGTATGTCCCAACGTCTCTCAGAGTTATCCTTTTTCTCTTGCTAAAGTTCTCTAGTGATGGTTCCTTTTTAAATGTCATTGCAAACCTACCTGGATTCTGTAAGCTCGGGGTGAATCTGCTTTTCCCAGGAGAGCCTTGTGGGCAGCATCCCCTCTTGGGGGTGTACTGTGGTTGCCAGAATTGCAGATATTCAATGTAGATATTCTCCTATATTTTAATCATGCTGTGGGTGACCAAGGATTCTTAATCTCAATTCTGTAATTTTTAGAGTATTACTTCATGAGGTTTGAATTATACAGAACAGGAGAAAAAAGAACTGTTCAAGAGGTGTTGGAAAACTGGGACTTGTAATATTAAGCATTATTGAAGTCTGAGTTCCAGCTAGTGCGACTGTTACAAAAGTTGGAATCAACTCATGTTTCCCCGTGGGCAGAAGTTCTCTTAAACTTTTAGACTGTAATAATAATCCCAACAAAAAGAAGCTTAAAGCACTGCTGAGGTTCTTGCAGGCCTCTCCGTGAGCTCCCACACCCCGTTGCAACTTCACGCTCTCTCAAACTCAACTTGTGTGTTTTTGCAAATAGGGCAAAAAGTATAAGCCTCTCGATCTGCGGCCGAAGAAGACTCGTGCCATGCGACGCAGGTTAAATAAGCACGAAGAAAACCTAAAGACCAAAAAGCAGCAGCGAAAAGAACGTCTGTACCCTGCCCGGAAATACGCCATCAAGGCGTGACGCTGCAGCGTGCTCACCGTTCAGAATTGTATTGGCTGAGGATGTCTCATTAAATAGAATTTCTTTGGAAGCTGTCACTGGTGCTTTTTTAGTAGCAGTGGGATAAAGAAATCAGCTTTGTGAAAAGAAATTAAAGGAATCACAGGAAGTTTGCTTGAGCTTTTATTGCTAGTGAAAATAGTGACACAACTGGCAGTTAAAGATCTTTTTGCTCTCTGAAGAGCAGGCAGATGAGTACAGATCTGTGGAGCTGGTTGAACTTGACACGTAAAAAGTATTTAACTTGAAACTGATTAGAAACGGAAACTTCACACAGATGTGTACAGTGAGTCCATGTTCATCACTTTCAAGAGTAAATGTTTAAAGTTTCTGTCTTGTCTAAGTGTTAGGGAGATGAATTAATTTGGCAGGGTGGTTGGTCTGCAGTCAGCGCTGCCGGCTGGGGGGGCTGCGCTCACCCGGGAGCTGGGAGCGCGGGGAGGACGGGGGTCCAGCAGCACGTGGGTGTTTATTTTGGGAGAGAATAGTCGGACCAGGCTGGTGTCAGTACCCAGCCTCACACACTGTGGGGTGGGGAGAGGGGAAGCTCGGTTCCAGTTCAGTGTTGGGAAAACGTAGGGGGTGTGATCGTGTCAGACCAAGTGCTCAAGACTGAGTGAGGCCAAGTGCAATCAGAAACAGGGCTTGAGAGAAGCTGGTTGAACTGGGAGATTTTCCCTCTCGAGTTTCCCTGGTGTCACGGTGCCACGCTTTCACCTGCAAAGCACAGAACTAGTTAAATGGTTTGACTTTGTCCCCCGGGGAGTTGTTTGGAACTGAAGGATGGAGCTGCGATTCCGAAGGCCTTTTTTGGTTCTGGTGTAAGGAAGAGTTATGCCGTGCTGCTGGAGCACCAGTCATGGTTTGTGTTAGTGTAGCTAATTCAGTCTAACATGAAAAATTCCCTACTCGTTAGGGGGTCCTTAGATTGAATCCAGATTCTGTTTAGGAAAAAGATCTTAATTCCGCTCATGGAACTTAGCGTAGATCTGAAGGATTTTTAAGCCTCCAACAAGTTTTAACCAGAGAGAGGTCTAATTCTGTGTGGTGAAGTGCATTTCCCATACGTTGAGCTGTGCCCAGGGATAGCTTCCAGTGATGCTGATCCTGGCTTGTGGGATGGCTTTGTTTGGAGCTTGGCGTGGACCCCAACTCGCTAGGTTTGGCAGGAAGGAGCCCGGCCTGGCACGGCCCTGGGCTCCGCGTGGGTCCCTGCGAGGGAGTGTGGCGTGTGGGAACTGGCTCCTTTGGCTCGTGTTCGTGTTGCCGAGAGGGCAGGGAGGGTTACAAAACGCTTTGCGTTACCCTTTCTGGGTATCCCGCAGCAGCCAGTGCTGGAGAAGCACATGTTTTTCACCCAGCACAGGTGGCACTGCCCAGACAGGGTCTCTAAAAGATCCCACTGCCATACAGGTCACTGACGTGCCATTCACTGGCCAGTAACAAGAGTGGGGGAAAAAAAATGGAAAAAAGCCCACACTAATGAAAGGCAGTGAACTTCCAAGGAGGAGTCGCAGGTTTGGGTGGCAGCATCGTGTCCAGAGAAGACTAAACATGTTCCTGAACCACAGAGAGAAAACAAGCAGTGGCTGGAAGTGGATTCCTCTGAACATCCTGGGGTGGCAGCCGGGAGGGTTGTGCTGTGTTTGTGTCTGCAGGGGCAGGCAGAGACGGGGTCGCTCTGGTTGGGAGGCTCCTCCCGAGGTCTCTGCTCCCACTTCTGCTCAGGGCAAGCCTGCTTTTGAAGGCACATCAGTTTGTACAACTTCTCAAGTGTCTAATGGGGGTTTTGGTTACAACCTGCTGTATTTCCACAGTCCAGCCCTTTCATCAAAACTACCCTGTGCTGTCACAGGAGACGTCCCACGCACAAGCAGCCCTTTAAATTACCGGGAAAAACACCCTGATTGGATGCAGAGGCGACGTGATGGGCTCCAGCAGGAGCTTCCTCCAGGGTGCAGGTGGAGGAGACGCCTGTTCCTGCTGTGGGATCCCTGTCCTGGGCTGTGTCACTGCTCCACGGGGCACTCGGGGGTCTGTGCCCATTCCCACTTCACCCGCCAGCCCCGTGTGGTCCCGGCTCCTGGCAGAAGCTGCTGCTGCCAAACAGCCAGCTGCAAACTCTGCAAACGAGTTGGCGGGGGGGGAACAGGAACAACTTGGAGCAGAAAATTAAGGTAAATGTGCTGGCCCACGGCCCCTCTCCTGGGGGACCCCACCACTCTCCTGTGCTGACCCCGAGCAGCTGCCGATGCCGGCCCTGTGTTTAGTACCGGTGTCTGTAGAGCATCAGGGCCTCCAAGGCTCAAACTGTTTATTTTTCCTGTGTAAAAGAAGATGTCCCTCGGCATTCGAGTGGGCTTTCCCAGGGAAAGCTGTTCTTCAGCAAATAAATAATTTCAGGGCGGGGGTGAGGCGGGAGGAACAGCCGCCGGCCGGCTGCGGGGCACGGCCCAGGGCGATGCCACTGCGCAGGGAGCCCTGGCCGTGCGCCCTGGAAAGCCTTCAGCAGGACCAGATGTTTCTCTCCCCGGCACAGCAGGCACCGGCCAAGGGCGGATGGTGTCTCTGGGAGCCGGCAGGACCTGCTCCTGGACCTCATTCTGCAGCCTGGGCAGGGACGGGGGGTCTGGGGGAAGGGGGGGATGCAGAGGGGGCAGAGGCAGCTGGGAGCCGTGCGGGGTCTGGCTGGGAAAGCCCGGGCCCCACCTCCCTTGGCCGGTGTTTGCTGAGACAGACGCAAACCCCAGCTCCTCCAACGCTTCTGGCGTCGCTCCTGTCGCCTCCCTCCTCCGGGATGGCTCCTCAGCAGCTCCCCGGAGCGCTAACGCCGAGGGCTGGCCCTGGTTTCTGCGTGCGGTGGGGTCTGCACATGGCGGGACACGCAGGGGCAGGACGGGCAGGGAGCCTGGGAGCAACCACCCTGGGCGCGTCCAGGTGCCCCCGGCTCCCCTCCGTGTGCCGGGGGAGCAGCAGCTCTGTGTGTCTGCGTGTGAGCAGCGTGTCTGGGGCATCTGGCTGACAACAAGCCCTGCCTTGTGAGCGTTGTGACCGGCGGGGAAATGCCACGTCCTGCTGGCCACGCGGGCGGCCCAGCTCTGCCCGGGGCAGCCGCCCGCTCCCTGCCCTGAAAGCCCGTTTTGTTGGCCGGGCTGGGGGAGGCCTCGTCCCCGCGCTGCCCCCGTCCCCTGCTCCCGTGAATACAGGCAGTGTCTGATGCAGGCGCTGCCCCCCGGGGTCCTGCTCCCGCCGTCCTGGGGGATCCCGGACAAAGGTGGCCCTTGGGCTCCTGGGAGAGGGGGGCCACTGCGTGCCGGGGCTCCTGGCTCCCTGCCAGCCTGGCTGGGCACCGTGGGGTGATGGAGAGACCCCTGTGCAGGGGGTGAGCAGAGCACAGTGTGAGCGTGGCTCTTGGGCAGCCCTCTCCTTCCCCCCATGCCGTGCTGTGGGGCGCTGCCGGGGAAGGGGTGCACCCACCGCCCCGAGGGGCTGCCGTGCCACGCTGTGCCAGCGGTGCTGGAGGGGTTTGGAGGTGGCAACGGAAAGCCTGGGAACAGATGTCTGTTTCCACTGGTGAGTGAGTCAGCAGTGGCACCGCCAAGGCCCACGGCTCCCCTCCCTTCCCTCCGGCCACTGCCCGGCCCTTTCCCGCTGCCGCTCAAGGTCGGCAGCCTTGACACCCGCATCCCTGCGTCGTCCTGCGGCTCCCCTGAGACCCGCCAGGGCCCCCGCTGACACCGGTGCTCTCCCTCCAAACACATCCCAGCACAGCACGAGGGCTGTGGCACGGGCACGGAGCCTCCTGCTCCCCAGGGAGGAGCTGAGGACTGCCAGGCTCCAGAGGCTGCTGCCACGGCTGGGCACCGTGTCCCAGGCACAGCCGCTGCTGAGCCCTGGTCCTGGGCTCTGGCTGTGCCGGGAGGGATCTCGGTGGAGCACCAGCCAGGTTGTCCCCAGCCCCGTGATGCAGGTCGCAGTCGGGCGAAGGCAGGACTGCTGGGCATGATGCCACGCTGCCTGCCGGGCTGCGCTGCCTCCCCAGGCCATGGCGCCGTCACAGCCCCCAGTAAAGCTTTTGCCAGCCCTGGGGACAATCAGCTCCATTTTGGGTGCAGAGCAGGACGGTGCCCTACATGGTCTGGAGAAGGGGGCGGGGGGATGGCTGTTGTCTCTGTGCCCAGTGCTCTGCCCCTTCCACCTTCCTCCTCTCCTGCAGCAGGTCCATACTGGGAGCAGTGGGTCTGTGCTGGGCTGTGTCCTCTGTGCCTGCTGTGCCTGATGGGATAAGCAGGGATGCAGAAGGCCTGGGATGGGTTCATGCCTCGGCTTCCCCGCTGTGCCATTTCTGACACCAGTGGTGGCCCTGCCGTGCTGGGCAGGGAAGGTGTGTGCGGAGCCGGCAGCGCCTGCTGCTCGCCCGACCCACGCTGTTTGGGTTGGTCGACACTCACATCCTGAGCCCCACTGCGCTTCAGCCGCAGCTTCATCCCTGTTACAAGAGAAACAGCTCCCTGCTGCCAGCACGGCCCCGGCCGAGGGCAAGCACTTGAGCAGGTTTGATGCCAGGCACCCACACGCTTTCCAGGGGAGCCTCCCCATCTGTCCTCCCCGGCTCTCTGCTGGCCCTGGGTGCAATGATATGGTGGGTCTCATCAGGGACGTGCCCATCCCCACGAGGTGCTGCCCTGCAATCCATGGCTCGGGGCTGCGGAGGGCAGGGATGCCCCTGCAGGGCGTGTGGTCAGAGCGGTGCCAGCACCGTCCTGCTGTGCCAGGGAGTCAGGGCACGTCCCTGGGGAGCGGGAGGGAGAGGCACAGCGGGAAATGCCTCCCCTTCCCACGCTGCTGTGCTGCCAGGGCTGCCGGCAGCGGGGACCACGCGGAGGGAAGGGTCAGGGAGGGCAGTAAAAATAGATCCCTGTGACGCTCGGTGCCGCTGGCTCTGGCTTTGAAGCCTGTTTGCGATGTGGGCACAGCCCCAGGACTCGCCCCCACCTGCCACCAGACACACTTTGCCCCGTTCCCCGGGTCAGTGGCCCCGGATGGACATAAGAATGGAGGGAAGGGCCCGATTCCCAGGTCGGATGCTCCATGCACAGCCGGTCCCGGCCCTGCAGCCCCTGGGAAGGCAGCTCTTGGCTCTCCATGGCCAGGGAAGGGCTGCGTGGCCACGGACAAGTGATGGTGCCTCTCATGCCCCAGGGGGGGTGGGCACAGGACCCTCCCGTGGGAGCAAAGTACTGCACCCGGCTGCACACACGGTGGAACAGGGCTCAGGTTTTTGGTGCAAGGAGGGGGCAATCCCCTTCGGCGGGTGCCAACAGGCTGCGGCCAGGGACAGGCTCCAGCTGGGATGTCACCTGGAGCAGGACTGTGCTGTGCTCTGCCCACTGTGCGTCCTGCTCGCCCGAAGGCTGGTCACCCCCCGGCGCCCACCTGCAGTCTCCAGATGGCTCTGCACGGCGCTGGCACCATGGCACGGTGCTGGGGGGGGCAGTGGGGCCAGCAATGAGGCAACACCACCACCAACAAACCAACCCCAGCCTGCCACTGAGAAGGAATTAGGGCTTCTCCAAGGGTCTGGCTGTGCCTGCAGGAGGGTGTTTTTGGATGGGGGGCTCTGGCGCCAGCAGCCACCCGCCCGGATGGCCCCAGCCGCCCTTCCCGGGGCGCTGTGTTGCTGTCACGGGGGCCTCAGGCACCGCAGCCCCTCAGCATCCCCGTCTCAAGCTTCATTTGCTGCTTGCTGCTGAACTGAGAGATTTTAATCTTTTAATCACGTTATGAGCCGAGGTGGTGCCGGCCACGCACAGGAGGAATGTCTGGAAGTCAGCAGCGCCCGGCGCGGCGGGAGCCCATCCTGCCCCCACCCACACCTCCCCACTGTGTCCTGCTCGGGGACCCCCATCCTCCCCAGGCTGCCTCCTCCTGCCTCCTCCTGCCTGGGACCAGGACCGGGAGCGGAACCCGGGACCAGAGAGACCAGGAGCAGGTCGGGGACCACAAGCGGGACCACTGCCAGGAGAAGGAGCAGGACCAGGACATGGACCAGCTGTCGAGGGACTGCTGGGGCTGGAGGTCCCCCCACCACATGGACATCTGATGTGCTGGCCAGGCCACAGGCGCGGAGCACTGGAGCGGGCGCTGGGGGGCATTTCCATGGACCCAACCCGAGGTGTGACTCCCCGGTCTATCCTAGCAGAGAAAGGGGATCGGGATGACTTTGGATTGAGAAAAAGGCATGGAGCAGTGGGGGGGGCGGGAAGCCCAAAGGACCCAGCACAATAACCCCACCGGGAAACAAAAGCCCCTTTGTTTTTCCTCGCTGATGGTGTTTAGTCGGTGGGCGCCCCAGCTTTTACGGTGCTGGAGCTTTTACAGCCTGTGCGTGGCCCTGCACCGCCCAGAAACCCTCCTGAGGCTGCCCCGCATCACCCCACATCACGCTGCATCCCCCCACATTGCCCCTCCGTGCCCCCCCAGCTGCCCCCAGGCTGCAGCCGGACGGGGCTGTGGAGCCCGGCCGAGCCGGGGCACGTGGCCGCAGGTTTTGGGGACGAGGCCAGGCAGCCGTCGGGGGGAGAACCTATTTCATGAAACGGGTGTCATGTGGGCATAATTAAAACTTCTCGTTATCACGGTGTTAGCGGCAGCGAGAGGGATGCTCTCAGAGGGGTGCCTTTGCAGGAGGCCCCACGGCTGTAATTAGGTGACGTTTCCCTCCGGCCACGTGGGTTTAATTACTCCCTTCCCCGTGTTTTCTCCCCGAGGGGAGCAGGGGGGCGTCCCGCAGCCCAGGAGGCAGCGCGGAGCCAGGGCAGCCCCCGCCGAAGAACAACAAAGCCCTGGAATTAGAGATGTGCCGGGAGTTTACCGCAAAAAAATGTCAGAAATCCGTATTGTTTGGACAGGGATTTGCTGTGGATCGTTAGATAAAAGCCTGGCAGGGACCCAGCTCAGGGGGGGGAAGAGTCAGCCAGCTCCTTTCTCCTGGTGGGACTTGTGGCCAAGGGAGGGATGTGCCGCCAGCACAGGGGGCTCGGGGCCGAGGCAGGGGCAGGGGTGGTCGGTGCCAGGGCAGGAGCTGGGCTGGGCCAGACGAGGAGTTGCCCAGTTGCCCTGTGCCTGGCACCGCGTCGGGTCTTTGCGGTAGGAAGGATTTCAGCCGTGCGGGCACCCTGGGACACCGGGCTCCGCTGCCTGGTGACAGCTCTGCGGGACCCCCGGCCGGGGTGCAGGGCTGGCGGGTGCTGAGGGGGGGCTGCCCTGGCACGTAGGGACGGGAGCGGGAAGGAGCTGGGCTGCGGGGGCTGATCTGACCCCTTGGGGCCCCCCAGCAGCTCCACGCTTGCCAAATGTTGCAGCAGAGCCAGGGCAGCTGCTGCCGCCGTGCCCACGCTCAGCTGCTCTCCCCGGGCTCCGCTCCGGCTCGGATCTGGGAACGCCAAATCCCCTCTCCCCCAGGACCCAGCAGGGTCTGTGCCCCCAACTCTGTGCTCGGGACCCACTTGTCTCTGCGCTGCAGAGCCGTGGCCCCACAGAGGGGACGTGGGGAGCCCTCCCCGGGCCAGCCAGATGTGCAGGGAACAGCAGCCATGTGTGCCAGCAACCCCTGGGCACAGCTGGCCACGGGCTGGGGACAGCAAGTGCCCATGCTGACAGCTCCCCCCCCCCAGCTGTGGGAGAAACAACAGCGCACGCAGCCTGCTTTCACATATGTTATTTTTTTAATACTGTTCACGTCTAAAATGACCAAAACCAAGCCAAGCGCTCCCGGCCCCTCGCCCTGCCCCGGGCAGAGAGCAGGAGGGCCGTGGGCTCCCCGGCCGCACGTGATGCCCCTGCCCGGCCCTGGGTGCAGGCAGGGGTGCAGGCAGGGCACCCAGCACTGTGGGCAAGCACCCGCTGCGGGAGAGGGGGCTCCGCGCGGCTCCGGTGGATGCATTTAAATAACAAGCTAATGAGCGGCAAAAGCAAAGGCATCTTAATCATGTCTCCTAAAATAGCAATGGGCAGCTGCTCCTCCTGCCCGGCAGCGAGGGGGCCCGGCCCGGCCCGGCGAGGGCACGGCAACCAGCAGCCAGCACCGGGCCGGCAAGGCCCCCGCACCGCTGGCAGCCGGTGGCTGCGGTGGGTGCGTGGTGACGGGGGTGTGCGGGGAGCGGTGCTCAGGGGGGGTGCAGCGCGGGGGGGTGCTCAGTGCGGTGGCACGGGGTGGGTGCTGCCGTGGCACTGGCGGCACAGAGCCGGCTGCCTCCCGGTGCCGCAGGGACATGGGGCTGGGATGCTCCACCGCGTCCCCAGGAAGGCAATGCCGGCCGAGCTGCCAGCTGTGGGGCAGCCCCACGGCCCCAGAGGCCACGTTGTCGTGGGGGTGTCTGCGCTTGCCTGCACCCCTGCCCAGCGATGCAGCAGCGCAGGGAGGGTGACTGGGGCACGGCGGGTGGGGAGGGCTGGGGGATGGGAGCTGGGGTCTCGCCGCAGCCCTGGCCCAGCTGGGGAACGGGGGCCAGGCTGCTGACGGGGACCCCCGGCCGGGCACGGTGGAGGGTGGGCACCGGGGTGCAGCTGGGACCCGGCCGGGCTCTCAGACCACGAAGCGGAGCCCATACGTCATCTGATGGCCGTTGTCCCAGGCGTAGAGCACCTTCTCCTTGGGGTTGTAGTCAACCTGTGTGGTGAAGGCGTAGTGGTTGAGGAAGGGCAGCCGGAGCTCTGCCTCTGTGTCTGTGTGCGTGTCGAAGGCGTAGGAGATCTGCCCTTCCTTCTGGCTGTAGGTGTCCACGGCGTAGAGGATGCCGCAGATGATGAAGCAGTTCCCGTAGGTGTTGCGCTTCAGCCCCGTCTTCCAGGTGGTCTCCTTGCGCACCGAGAGGTCCCCGGGGTCAAGGCGGCTCAGGACGATCACCTCCTGCTGCGAGTAGTCGTAGTCCACGGACGGGTAGATGACCCAGAGCCCGCTCTCATCCACAGCGAAGTCGATGTCCGAGTGGCCCTTCCACTTCCAGGGCGTCGTGTCCTCGTACACCACGTCGTGGAGCAGCGCCCAACCCGCCACATACCGCTCCTTCAGGTCGTACTTGATGATGTTCTTGGTGAAGGCACGGTTGTAGTAGAAGGCCCCCCGGTACACCACGTGCCCGGTGCCGATCCAGTTGTAGGGCAGCTTGTAGAGGTTGCTCCAGCGGCCTGCGAGTGGGTGGGAGAGGTGTTGGGACACCCTGCAGCACTGGGGTCCCGTGTGTGGTGACCTGAGCAAGCCAGCAGTGGCAGGGGACCTGTGTCCCCTCTTGCTGCCCTATGTCCCCATCGGCTGCCCACCACCCAAGGGGCCAGCACAGCCAGCATCGCCCGGTGCTGGGCACCCACCCAGGAGGAGCTGGGGCCCCTGTGCCCACTCACCCCCCAGCCCTCACCCTGCTTGAAGTTGTCGAGGCTCCTGAACTCCACCAGGCTGTTCCCGTAGTAGTAGTTGGTGACGTAGATGCGGTCATCCTTGGCCGCCGGGTCCTTCATCCAGGCCCCCTCGTTGCGCCCGTAGCTGTGGTGCTCCGTGGGGGGCTCCACCGACTCGATGGTGCCTTCGCACTCCACCTCCTTCACTGGGTACCGAGGAGGAGGAAGGCTTACCCCTGCCCCAGGCAGCCTGCCTCCATGGGGGCTGGAAAGCCCTTTGCCATGGCAGAGCTATTGCTGGCCCAGCCTGGCCTCGGGCACTGGGACCCATTCCCCTCCCAGCCCCCACGCTCACCCACCTCTGTTGGGCGTTTCAGGGCCCCCGGTGCTGTCAGCCCCCTGCCCGAGGGCGGTGGGGGGGAGGCTGCGGGCGGTGGTGCGGGGGGCCAGGGCGGTGCTGGGCACTGCCGTGGTGCTGGGCACGGTGGTCTCTGTCCTCCCGATGGCTTGGGCTGGGGTCCCCTCAGCTGGGGGGAGCGGGGGGCCCCTCTCCTCCTGCCTCTCCGGCGCAGCCACCCCCCTTGCAGGGCTCTCTGCGGGGGGATGAGCCGGGGGGTCACTGCGTTGGTCCCTGCCCCTCCATCCCGCCAAGCAGCACCATGGCAGGAGGGTGCCCCCGGCCCCCCAAGCCCCCACCCAATGCCGGGGACTCACCGCGGCTGCCGGTCTGTCCCTCCGCAGCCCCCGCCTGCCCAGCCTTGTAGTAAGTGATGCCCCGGACCACGGTTTGCTGGTGTGCCGATGGCTTGGGCTTGGGCGTAGGCTGTGACCCCCCCCTGGCCTTCACGTTATCCTTTTTGGGCTTCTCGGGCTTCAGCTGCTTCTCCTTGGGCGCTCGGGGGGCTGCCCTGTCCCCCAGTGCCTTGCGGGTGCTGGGGTACCGTCCTGCCTCCTTCTCTCGGCCGCCCGCCGTGTCCTGGGGGGCACAGCCCGGTCGGACCCCCTCCCCTCCCCTCCCACCACCGTGCCGGAGCGGATGCAGGCACCAGCCCGCAGCTGCCGGTGCGGTGCACCACGATGCACTCGCAGGAGCTGCCAGCACCCACCACAAACCCAGGGGAGCTCGGCTCTGCCCCGTGGCAGGAGAAGTCCAGCAAGGGGCCGGGACCCCGGGGGTACCTGTGCCTTGCTCTCGGGGACAGCGGCGGCATCCTTCTGCAGCAGCTGGTAGCCCAGGTTGGAGATCTCTTTCTTGATGCTGATCATGATGTCAGAGTAGTTCTCGTAGCGTTTCATCTGGTTGGTGAGGTGCAGGACGCTCTCCTTCATGAAGTCGTTCTCCCTGCTCAGGTTGGTCTTGATGGTCTGGGGGAGAGGAGAGGTGTGGAGGGAGCCCGTGGCACCCGGAGAGGGTCCCGGGCAGCCAGATGGGGCACGCTGCAGGGATGGTGCCTGCCAGAGCCCACTCACCTCCTCCAGCGTGTTCATCTGGGCCACCACCTTGCTGATGTAGGAGTGCACCTTCATCAGGTCCATGCTGTAGAGCGTTCCCTCCAGCAGGTCCACCATGGACTGCAGCTGGAGGGGGAGAACAGGGCTGTGGCACGGGGCTGGGGCACGGGCCACGGGGCAGGGCACATGCCCCCTGTTCCTGCTCATGGCCAGAGTGCAGGAACTGCACTGCTGCATTGCCCCGGGGACAGGGACGGGGAGGGTGGGTTCCTGCACATCTGGCCCCCAGCCCACGGTCCCACCATGCCCGCAGGTACCTTGAAGAGCTCAGGCGCTTGCTTCTTCAGCTTCTCCATCTTCCACTCGTTCTCGCAGGGGTTGAGCGAGGAGGGGGGGGCGGTGCAGGAGCACTTGCAGTCGGCCCCCGAGCTCACCGTCTCCACCGTGTAGAAGTCCTCCACGCGCATGCTGCCGTTCCTGACGCGGCTGCAGGCGTCCTTGCTGAGCGGCCGCAGGATGCACTTGCAGCGGCAGTCGGAGCCCTCCGAGGTCATCCGCACCTGGTCCGCCTCGCCCAGCGCCTGCAGGGACACGCAGCCGTGGGGCGGATGGTGAGCCTGGTGACCCACCTGGGTGTCCCACAGGGCCCTGTCAACCCCAGGAAGCCATCACGCCAACTCCCTCTCTGCTGCGTGCCCAGAGGTCTCCCACCACCCCTGGGGCTCCTGGCTGCACCCCAAAGAGGGCTGGGCATGGTCTGGCCAGGAGCACCCTGTCCCACCACCCTGCACCTGGGTGACGGTGATGAAACCCAGGCAGCCGCTCATACCCGTGGCCACAAGAGCCTTTTGTGCCCCAGGTACTTTGGTCCCGTTTCTGTAGCTGTTTCCCAGCCTCCAGCAAGACCCCAGTGAGCAGGGACGGTGACGAGGAGACCCAGAAGCGCCTCTGTCCCTTCGCACCCGCAGCCCCGAGCCCACACAGGGTCCGTTGTTCATGGTGACACGCAGCCACCTCGGGGTGAGCTCAGCCCCTCCAGACTCCCCCAACGGCCCGAGGCACACACTCAAGGACTCCCTTGTTTCCACACATGGCCCTGACTCACGCTATGGAGCCCAGGGTGCTTTTCGGCTGGTTTCTGCAGATAAGGAGCTGTTCTCCCCCAGTCCCGCTGTGCTGGGGAACGGGGCTGCAGCTCAGCCAGCCCGGTGGGATGGGAGCTGTGTCCCTCTCACCCCCTGCCAGCGGCTCTGCACCCACAGGGGACACGTGGGCTGGTGGGGAGCATGGCCAGACCGTGCTGACTGCCCCCCGTGTGTGGGGACGTGGCCAAGCACCCGGGAGGGGGGAGGAAGGGGGGAGGCAGCGCGGTGACCCCGCAGGGAGAGGGCTCTGCCCGCAGGGACTCTGACTCACCCTGGGAAACACAACGGTGGCAGAGCTGGGAAATGAATCCGGCTCCGGCTCTCCCCCCCTCCCCAAAGCACAGCGCGGCGTGGGAAAGGGCAGAGGCCCACGGGGCCAACGTCCTGCCCGTGGGCAGCACCCGTGGCCGTGCCGACGCCGTCCTGCCCCTGCCCGGCTGGGGGGACGCGCTGGCAGCACCCACAGAAGCAGCTTTCCATGCAGGGACCCCCAGCTCCAGCCCCACAGCCCAGGCCAGGGGCTTCCCTTCCCACAGATGCAGCAAAACCTCCCGCATTTTGCATTTCAAAAAAAGCCTCTCTCTTTCAAAGGGAAAGGAAGGTCCCGCTGGCTGGGAGGAAAACACCAGGCGGCCCAGAGGGCTGTAAATCCAACAGGATCTAATGAGGCTCTCGGTGGGGAGCAGCGGGGCAGGGAGCGGGACCCCCTCCCCAAACAGCCCCTCCCCGGGCACTCGCACCTCCCTGGGCCCCCTGACCTCCCCATGGCGATGCCGGCGCTTGTGCAAACAGGCAGGAGGATTCACAGCCCGGCGGCGAGCTGCTGGCCCCTCCACACACACACGGGCTGCTCCTCTGCCTGGAGATGGGCTGCTGTCCCTGCCACCAGCTCTGTCTCTCCATGTCACGGCGCTGAACGGGGTCCTGGTGTGGGCGTGCATCCTCCTGGGAGCCCTGCACGAGGTCCCGGTTTGCACGTGCACCCCAGTGGGAGCCCTGCACGAGGTCCCGGTGTGCCCCATGGGAGACCCACTCTAGTTCCCAGCTGGGGCCCCCTGTTCAACACCCCAAGCACCAGCCACCCATGAATTAACCACGGCACAGCCCAACGGCCAGGGACACGCCGTGATCCCACCCGGCATCGGCACCTTCCGCGGGGCAGGGCTGCAGCTGCCTGCGCTGGAAGCCGGTTCCCCCGGGAGCGGGCGGCCACGGGCTGCGCCGTCCCTCCCACGGCCCTTGGCAGCGCGGCGGCGGGAGGCACGGCCGGCACGGAGGCCCCGCGTGTCCCACGGAGGTGGGGTGGGAGCAGGCTGGAGCCCTGCGCAGAGACTGCACCCGCTGCAGCCCCTTCAGTGGCTGTTTACACTGCGCAGCGTGGGGGGGGGGCAGCAAACGGAGCCTCCCCCCGCGGCACGAAGGGGCAATCTCTTCCCCGGAGACCTCCCAGTTCAAGCCATTCCCCTCCTGCATTCCAGCCATCGGTCCCCGCAGCGTCGCGGGTGCCGGATGGGTTGGTAGCCAGTGGCCCAAGGGCCTGGCAATCGCTTTTGTCTTGTGGCTGCACAGCAACAGAAAAACCCTCTCACCTCGGGCCGAGGTGCCAGTGGGTGCTGGGGGCTGGGGGAGACCGACTGCCCCATCCTGGGCGCTGCGTGCGCCTCGCTGCGCCACAGCCGGGGCAGCCGCCTGCCCGCACGTGGGGTCGTAACATTAAACCTCGCTCTGCCTTTTAAACAGCTTCCTTAAACAGGAACCGTATGTTCTATTTATACAGAAAAGGCTATAAACAAGGAAGTCTTAAAAAAAAGGCCCCCGCGTGGTCCTTTCTGCAAGGGTCACCCCGCCGCGGTGCATCGGCCGGGCGGCCATCGTCACCCTGCACCCGGCTCTGTCCCCACCCCATGGGGACGGCCTGAACCCCAACCCCCCGGGGACAGCCTTCACCCCCCAGGACACACGGGACCCACTCCCTGACAGCCGGCGGGGGGGCTGGGACATGGGGGCAGGAGGCAGCACACTGCGCTGGCTGCTCGGGATGGGAATCTGATGGCTCCCCAAAAAACCTCCATGGGGGCTGCTGCAGGGTCTCCGGGTGGTTCTCTCCCTCAATCCCCCACTGGCTGCAGACCCCGGCCCAGGGTGCAGACAGGGGGGTGCTGCCCCTCGTCCGGACCCGGGTCCCAGCTCTGCCGTGGGGCTGTGCGCCCAGGGCTGGTGTGGGGGAGCATCCTGGGGGTTTCCCCACTCCCAGTTTTACAAGCTGCATAATTTTCCCAGCACTGTCTGGTTTCTGCGACCTCTCGCAAGAGCGTCCATGTGAGCACGGAGTTTGTGCCATTATTTGGAGAAAACGGGACCTTTGACAATGAACCTTGGCCAGCTTCTAAGCTGTCCTTTGAGTGCTCGGAGGAAAACACGCTGCGCTGATAAGTGCGCCGCGGGGCTGCACGCCTCTGGCACGCTGCTGGAAGGCATGTCACCGTCACGGGAGGGAAACCATGTCACCCTCCTCTTCCTCCTCCTCCTCCCCGGCTTGGCACAAGGCGTTTGACACGTCCTGCAGCGCGGGGCGGCGAGGCAGAGCGGAGCTGGCAGGGCCGGCCGTGGCTGACGGCGGCCTGGCCCCGGGTGCTGGCACGGCCTGGGCGTCCCGTGTGGGTCATGGGGACACGACCACGCAAAACGCTTGTGTGGCACACGAATGCCCACGGACGGGACCTCACCCAAACGGCAAGAACCGAAAAAACACCTTCCAGAGCAGCGGGCAGCACCTGCCAGAGGGGAGGGAGGTGGTGGCAGCACCGGGGGAGGTCCGTGGGCTGCGGATCCCGGCTTGGGGCACAGTTGGCGACAGGCAGGAGGGTTGGGAGGCAGAGTTTGCACTGTACGGCGCCAGAAGATGGCGCTATTGCTCACTGTCTCAAAAAGCACTAACAAAGTTCAAAATTCAAGCAAATTAATACACTTTTAAACAATTTCATGCACTAAGGACTCACTAGATAATTTTACAGCGATGTGGTGTGACTTGTAAGAAAAGACTCCAGATTTACAAGAGCATAAATAGAGGTATAAAATTACATTATTGTGCAAGCTGGATAACATACAGATACAAATAACTCATTAGAGCTGCATATAGAAAATCAGATTCATTAGGTGATAACAACATGAAAAGTGCAGTAAGTTATTCTTTTTTTTTTGCTTTTAAAAAAAAAAAGGCTCCATGAATTTCAGTTCTGCCCATTTTAATATTCTGTGTATTACTCTAACTGCAACTTTAAACTACTTGGAAATAAGTAAAAGTGAGAAAATGTATAGCTGTTGGATCCCAAATATAAAATAATCGCCTCTTTAAATCCATCCTAAAAATCACAGTGAAAACATCAGGAAACGCAAAACTCATCCAAAAGCTGATGAGAGCTACTGAAACTTTTTTTTTTTTAAATGACCTGTAAAAAATACCCATTTAGTTATTGTTCTTTGAAAGGGAGAAGAAAAAAAAAAAAGATCAGCACAGATAATTTTCTTACCTTTTTTTGACGATCAATACGACAACAAGGAGAAGCAGGATGAATACCAGAATTCCAGCACTGATTCCTGCTATTTTCACCACGCGATCTGTTTGTTTGGCCGGATCCGGGATCACCTCAGGCTCTTCTGTTGCTGCTGCTAAAGGAACCCAAAAAGAAGTTGCTTAAACACATAAGCACTAAAGACACAAGAAACATCATCGGTGACCATTTCCAAACACCTGTGTGATTTAGCACAGGAACCAGAATATAGACACACATCACGTGTTTATACATCTACAGGTGTGTATATAGACACATGATAAATGTCAATCTATACTCTATACATTTGCCACACCGTGTATATGACTATGTATGTGTGTGTACATATGCATATATACATATATATATAACTTCAAGTATACAGAAGTATATACGCCCGGCCCGGCCCGCCCCGGCGGAGGCACCGGCCCCAGGAGAGGCGCCGAGTCCCGCCCCGGGGCTGTCCGGGCTTTCCCCGCGTCGGGGGTGGCTGCTTGGTCCGGGGGGGGCGGGTTGCCCGGTGCCGGGGCCGCACTGCTCCCTCCCCGCACTGCCCCGGGCCGCCCCTTTCCGTGATTCCCGATTCCCCCTTTCCCGGTCTGTCCCATCCCCTCCTCTATCCCGGCGGGCGCCCCGGGCGACCCCGTCCGTTCTCCCTCCGGGCCTGCCCGCTTTCCCCCTCCCCGGGGCCACCCGGTACCGGTGCTGCATCCCTCCCTCCCCGCACTGCCCCTTTCCGGGATTCCCGGTGCCGGGCTGCCCGATCCCCTCCTCTATCGAGGCGGATGCCCCGGGGCGGGCCCGTCCGCTCCCTCCCGGGACCTGCCCGGTTTCCCTCTCCCCGGGGCTGCCCGGTACCGGTGCTGTCCACCTCCCTCCCCGCACTGCCCGGTGCCCCTTTCCTGGATTCCCGGTGCCGGGCTGCTCCATCCCCTCCTCTATCCCGGCGGGTGCCCGGGGCGACCCCGTCCGTTCTCTCCCGGGGGCCACCCGGTGCCGGTGCTTCACCCCTCCCTCCCCGGCCTGCCCCGTTCCCCTTTCCGGGATCCCCGGTTTCCCCCTTTCCCGCTCTATCACGTCCCCTTCTCTATCCAGGCGGGTGCCGGGGGCGACCCCGTCCGTTCCCTCCCCGGGGCTTCACCGTTTCCCATCCCCGGGGGCTACCCAGTGGGTACCGGCGCTGCACCCCCCCTCCCTCCCCGCACTGCCCGGTTCCCCCTTTCCCGAATTCTCCCTTCTCCCTTTCCCGGATCCCCGGTTCCCCCCTTTCCCTCCCTTATCCCGGGATGTGCCCCGGGGCGGGCTCCCGGGATTTTCCCGGTGGCGAGCTCAGGCGGAGAGTGCCCCCTAGCGCTTCTCCGAGGGGCAACCGGGCGCGGCCCCGCCCCCCCGGCCGGTGCCTGCCGGTC